TTGTGAGTTGCCCTTTGTCATGACACATACCTCATTACCATCATAGTTGAAGTTTTACTCCATTCTTCCCATGTATCTTGGAGCAGAGAGTACCCCAGGATTTTTTTGGGGGGGGTATTTTGTAGCAATTGTTGTCACTCCACCAGCCTGGAAAATATCTTTGCCAAAAAAGCTAATTGAGTCTGGTTGGCCAATTAATAATGGAGAGCACACCAACGGGGGCTCATGAGTGATAGGACTAGACATCTGGCCTTTCAAGGTTACCTCTAACCCTTGAATAGTTGTAGTTAGCCACCTTCCAGGGACTGGGCTCACTAAGCGTGGGAGCTGGGGAAATAGCCCCAGAAGAGGTGCTATAATAGCAAAGCCACTTTTTCCTCCTTTTGGTTAGCCAAATGCTTTCAATTTAAATATAACTTACTGGCCACAAAATCCTGTTGACTTGAAGAAATGTTAATCTATACGTGTATTCTATTGGGAGAAAGCATTCTTCATTCCATGAAGTCAAAAGGTTTGGTCAGCAAGAATTCAGCTGGGGGACTGGAACTCCTAGGTCAAAGTTAAGTGGTACTAGTCTGTATAAATGTGTCTTATGAATTCTGAATTCAGATAGCACAGGAATAAATCATAAACCAGTGAGAGTGGAAAGTTCTGAAGAAGTAATGAGTGGATAACTTTTTAACTGATCACTACTATTTGTGGCAGAGTGGATCTGAACCATTCCTCCAAGGAGGAGAAAGATGAAAGCCCTGCTTACACAGAGGAGGTAATTTTCTCCCCTCCCCCAACTCACTAGCTCCATTTGTTGCCTGCAGATAATTCAGTTCCTCCAGTATTATGTTCACTTGGTCACTAGACAAAGATTTCATGTTTACAGGATTGACTCAATTAAAATTTATTGATAGTCTAAAACCTGTGTAATTTTTATCACCTTCTGTCTCCTTTTCACTTCTCTGCGCCATCACTAGAAAAGTAGACAGGGTGACGTAGGACTGAGGACCTTTTTGCATTTTTACAAATACATTATCACCAAGTGGCCAGGCAACTGCTTTTAGGTTTTTGCTTTCAGTTAACCTGGTCCACAGAAAACTGGCTCACTAAAAGTATATATGTTCATGATATATTATCATGTAGAATAGATCTTATCTGAACTGAATTTTTACTAACTTTATTTTACTTTTTGCTTCATATACATATTTATCTTATAATGTAAATCCCAAATTAAACAATAATATAATTTCATATGATTTTATAAAATTCTAAAATTCAAATTTTTCTGTTATGGCGTATTGGTACCAATTCCTGTCCACTTCACCTATAACCAAATATTCCAGTTCATTCCACTGAATTTTTATTACAGTATCCCCAAAGTCTTAGTTTTAAGCTAGTAAGACTTGCAGTTATTTAGCTATTAAAGTTTAAAAACCACATTAAGACTTTGAGGACACTCTAGATAGTATACTTTTTTTGGTCAAGACATTTTTTTTTTCATATCCTGGCCTTTGGTTTCTTTATGTCTTTTTCAACTAAATTTTTGGACATTTTGGGCAAGGCCAACTAATTTCTCCTTAAGCTCTCTTGATTTGCAGCATCTCAATAATGCATAGTTAGTCTTACCAGTAAGTCATTCATATAAGGAGACATAGTATGGAATACATTCATGTTAGGGATCTGTAAGGATGTAGAGGGCCACAGACTAAGTTCATGAGATCTCACTGAAGGGCTGAGGCCCCTCTCGGGTGTTGGTACATGAACAAAGATTGCCTGGTTCGGTGCTCCATTCTATACATCTCTAACTTCCCTAGTTACTCATTAGTCATTAACAGTGTATTTGTGATTGGTAGTAGGTAAGTGCATAGACTGTACATGCACTGTCCTTGAGCACAGCATGGGTTATATGTCATTGTAACTTGAGAAAGAGTTCCTGTTATTTTACTATATAAGTAAGTGCTTTGCTAAAAATAAACGGAGTTGCTGCCATCTTTTCTCCTGCCTCATCAATGCGTGCTCGGAGTGAAAGATCAAGCTGGTCTTGATTCTTCAGGTGATTGAGAAATCCTAGGTCCTAGGCAGGCTCTGTAGCCGAGTGAACTAGTTGTGCACAACAAACTGGCGCCCAACATGGGGCTGCACTGCTGCTGTGAAGCTGCACTGAAGATATGGAGAGTAAGACAGCTGCATGAAACAGTTGGGAAACGTCTGGACCAAGAAGAAGACGTGACACTCACATCAAGACACCGAGGTCTATTGGAGCCAGGCAGCCTCTTTGTGAGAGGTCTCTGAATCGCATCCTGTTGCAAGATATGGAGTGGGAAGAGAATTTCTTACCATGGGGCAAAGTTTAGGTAAACTCTCAGATAAGGAACAGAATGTTAGAGTAATATATCAAGTGATCAAGGAATAGGGGTGCTCGGTAACTCTCAAGAAAATAAGAGAGTTTCTAGACATTATTGATATAACATCTCCATGGCTTCCAAGGGAAGGGAGTTTGGATTTAGAACCATGGAAGATAGTGGGGGAACAATTGACAGAATTTTATAACACCAAAGGACCGAAGTCAGTTCCCCAGGCACTTTCACTATATATAATCTTATAAAAATGGGCTCGCAAGCTGACATACAGGGTGAGAAGAGAAAATTCCCTGCCTGTACTCAAACTTCTTCGTTGTGCTCGCCTAACAATAGTACAGCAGGCTCTCCTGAGAAAGAGAACAGACCTAAGATTTATAGGTTATATCTTGACTTAGCTGAAGCTTCAAAACCCCCTCCACACTCTCCATACCCTGAGCTGTTAGACAGACTCAAGCGGCATGAGGAGAGGTCCCCTATACAACTACAGATTGTTTTGCCTTTTATGAAAACCAAAACCTTAAGAAAAATTTTGCTTGGTTTTAGAATACCATGAAAAGACTGAGATAAAATAAAATAAAAATAGTATTATTTCATTTGTGTAGGGAATTTCTAACAAGTTTCTCACTTTTGGATTCTCCCCGTCATTTTGTTCTGTTTGTCTGTGTCTGTGTGAATGATGGTCTGTGATTAATGTTCGTAATTTATTTGATCTTTCAAGGGCTGCAACTGGATTCTGAAATGCTGATAGTGACTTTCTCGCCTTCCCCCTCCCTAATACCAGCCACATTCCCAGGAGTGGGTGGATAGGGGAGAGAATGGGAGAAAAAGTACATCATTATTTAGGTTATATAATTTGACAAAAGGCAAGAAAGTTTAAGCATACAGGAATAAAGAAAAGTGTGGATAGAAAGAATAATATCTGTTTGCATGAATAGCAGGAATAGATGATTTGAGAGTAAAAGATTTGGAAACTTTTGGAGAAAAAATTCTCTTTCTTTTTTGCATTCTAAAGTTCTGGCCAAAGCTTTGGGTGTAACATTGAAAGATTATATTGAACAATATTCTCTTCCTTTCTCTCGAATTCCAACCCTGGCCAGGTTGGGGTGGGGGAGAAAGAGGGAGAAGATAAGGAGGATGAGTTTCCTCTTCAGATCAAAAAGAAAAGTTTTTAAGTATTGGAACACAATCTAAAGATAATTTAGTTCATTCACATTCACAATATGCATGTTTCAAGTTTTAAAAAATCTAGTCTCATTACAAATTGGTACACTTTTATGTGTTATGTCAAGCAATTTTTAATAATTTAGATGTTACTAAAATGTGAACTAAAAGAAACTGAAAGGTAGTGAGATAACTGTGTAAATTCAGCTAAATTATTTTATCAAGTCCAGTTAATCTTGTTCTATGATTTTTTATAACTGTCATTTAGAAAATCAGGTATTTCTGTCTTTACCTAGGATTAAAGAACAGCTTAGAGCTAAAACAATTTAACTATCACTCATGAAAATTACCAAAGTGTTAACTGAGTTATTTGAAGTTACTGTTTTAAAGTTAAGGCCTAGAATTTTTAATTACCTCTGAGAGAAAAGGAGGGGCACAAGGCAATTCCCTTAACTTTGTAAGCTTGCCAAAAGCTCCTACCAGCTGTGTGCCAAGGTTGTCTGCTCTGAGAAAAGAATTTGTTTATGTTATTGAGTTCCTAAATAATTCATTTAGCTTACTGAGAAATTGTAACTTTATATAAATAATTTCTAATAATTGGCTTTCTCACCAAGACAAGTTTAAATGTGGGAAAGAAAGGATGTTAAGTAAAATTTCATATATATGTGAGACTAGTAAATCTTTATTGCTTATTGCATTTCTATGAAAATAATTAACTGTATCTGGCTTTAAGCCATCATCAGTGAAACTTACTGCTTGAGGTAAAAGACTCTTAGAACTATAATTAATTTTGTTTTGAGTTTGAATTTGGGTATAGTTGTCTCATTAAATCAGTATTTCCCATTTTTCCTATTGTGATCCTTTAAGGAGGAATGTTTCTTACCATGTGCCGAAATTTTGTTCATAACACTATTAAACTTGTTAGTCAGAAATATTCCCAGACAAAAATAATTTATTATATGGATGATAAACTGTGCAGTTGTCCTACTACTACCAAACTCTCCTTATTAATGCCCAAGTTTTAACAAGCCTTTCAGTCTCATAGATTTATAATTACCCCTGACAAGGTACAAAAAAGTATCACCCTTTGCTTACTTTAGGTATATTGTTCTACAGTCTACAAGCATACCACCAAAATGTTACAAATTAATCAAGATTCCTTGATAATTTTAATGTTTCATACAATTTTTACAGATATTAATTACTTTTAGCTTGTCTAATAAATCACCACTAATCAATTATTTTAAGATGAATTTAAACTACTAGGATAACAGATACTGAGAGCTGTTATTTCCTCCCACCCACTGTTTGTGCTTTTTCTATCCATAAAACTGACAAAATACAAAATGAAATCTAATGAACTTGTTTGGGTTCCTTAAAATTCATCTGTTTTTATTATTGCAAAGTAGTCAGGAAAATTAACGATGCTTTATGACTTCCTAGCCTTTGATAGTTATTGATTTAAAAGATTGCTTTTTTACTATTCCATTACAAAAAGCTAAAAATGATACATCACATGGATGAGATTTTATGTGCTCATCCTAATCCTGAAGTGTTAGAAGAAATTTTACAAAAAACACAAGAATTGTTGCAAAGTCATGGGCTTCAAATAGCCCCAGAAAAGATTCAAAAACATCCACCATCTCAATATTTAGGCCATCAAATACTTCAAGAGAAAGTAGTTTTACATCCACCAACAACAGACCTACAAAAATTGAAAACAATGATTTTCAGAAAATTATAGGAGATATACAGTGGCTTCGGTCACAGGTTGGCATTTCAAATTATAAATTGATACCCTTGTATGATTGCCTTAGAGGTGATCCTCAATTAGATTCACCCCGGATACTGACCCCTGAGGAGAAGCAAACATTGTTGTATATTCAGGAACAACTAATTGGAGCACACACAAACAGGATTGATATGCATGAAAGCGTGGAAACCTCTATATTTAACACCCCAAATTCTCCAACAGCAGTAATACATCAAAAGCAAAGGCTTTTAGAATGGGTATATTTACCATCTCAGCCAAAAAACACTTTAAGTAATTAAAGTGATAGGAGACTTAATACATAAAATTGATAACAGATGTTTAACATTATGTGGCACACATCCGGAAGTCATATACCTTCCATTTTCTCAACAAATAGTTGAAATGGCAATACAAACAATGCCCAACTGGCAAGTGAATATCAGTTTGAAGCTTGTGTATGGAAAACCCCTTAAATATCATGTAATCTTTGAGAATTGGCCTTGGATACAACCCACACATACATCAGGTGAACCCGTATATGGAATTAATGTCTTTACTGATACCACAAAGATGAATAAGGCTTCTATCTGGTGCCCTAAAAGAAAGGAATTACAGGTGATTAATATACCTTTTACCTCCACACAACAGAATGAATTATATGCTGTCTATTGTGCCTTTCACAAATATAAGGAGCCAATGAATATCATCACAGATAGTAAATATGTAAAAGGAATCCTAAAACACCTAGAGACTGCAATAATAAAAAATACTGGTAATAATATCTGTCAGTTGCTTCATGATATACAACATTATATACAGAATAGGACAGAAAAATTTTATGTTTTGCATGTTTGGCCCCATACTCTTGCTCCAGGACCAATTTTTGAAGGTCATGATTTTGTTGATAAATCTTTAACAAGGAATGTAGAAATAGCAAGGAGTAGTCATAATCAATTACATTTATCTGCTAGGTCTTTAAGAACTTTATATGGCATAACAAAATCACAAGCACGTGAAATTGTTAAGTGCTGTGCTACTTGTATGCCTTTTCAGCCCCCTTTTCATGTTGATGTACACAACCCCAAGGGACTTACACCTAACGCCTTATGGCAAATGGACGTTACTCATTATTCTCCCTTTGGAAGACAAAAGTATGTTCATGTTTCTATTGATACTTATTCAGGCTTTATTTTTGCTACTGCTCAAGTGGGTGAGGCTGTCTGCTATGTTATTAATCATTTGCTTTTTCTTTTGCTGACCCACCTCAATGCTTAAAGACTGATAATGGTCCTGCATATATTTCGCAGGGTTTTTAAAAGTTTTGTACTGAGTTCTCTATTAGTCATACTACTGGCCTTCCTTATAATCCTCGTGGTCAGGCCATAGTTGAATGCACCAATCCTACATTAAAGACGGTGCTCCAAAAACAAAAAGGGGAAGCTAAGGGATCCCCATGGCATCAATTAAACACTGCACTCTATACTGTAAATTATTTAAAATTTGACAGTTGTAACCTCTCTCCTGCAATGAAATATCTGGCAGGAAATGACAACAGTACTAGTGACACCACTAAATCAAACAAATTCCTTTTTCCTAAACACAATATGAAAGTCATGTGGAGAGACGTTGACTGTGTCTGGCAGGGCCCAGGGCAAGTGCTAACCTGGGGGCAAGGGTTTGTTCTTATTTTCACAGGTGATGGAGAACTTTGGGTCAGAACAAAGGATGTCTGAATTATCCAGAAGGGACGAGGCAAGCAGAAAAGAAAACACAGAACGGCCAGGAATCAAAGGAATTGAAAGAATGAGAAGAAGGCACTACACGAACTTGTAACCAGGCTGTGACTCTTGTCGTTATTGTCGGCAGTGGTACAGAACACAGCAGCAGAGACAGGAAATACAAGATGGACTTTTGTGACAAAATCACCATGGCCAAGACTGGCCACATGGGGAGAGACAATACCTGAGGTTATTTTACAAGAAAATGCATCTGCAAGATTGGGGAAGGAATTTAATTTTACACCTCAAAAGAATGGGTCAATTACAGTAAAGTTTAATTTTCAAAGATTGGTATGAGTCATGTTCTGATCGTATTTTTGGAATAATAGACCAAAGAAATCAACTAGCAATTGTTAGGAAGAAGAGATGTATTTCATGCATAGTATTAGGAATTGTACCTTATACTAGCTTATAGCTATTACAACTGCTTCCGTATCTTTATCTCAATCTATATCTATTGCAAGAAATGAAATGGTTCAAGCTGATTTTATGAATCAGTTAGCTCGCAATGTATCAAAGGGTTTTCAAGCACAAAAAAGGATAGATGAGGGATTTTACCACATACTTGAGGGAATGAAGGAAACCATTATTGAAACAGGTGATGAATTGGATATTTTAGAATATAGAACACATTTGAAATGTGATTATAGGTATGAATTTATTTGTCTTACCAGTGTTAAATACAATGACTCCCAATGGGAGTAGCAGAGAATATGTAGACATCTGAATGGGCTATTTGGGAATTCTACTGTTGCATTGGATATTGATGATTTATATAAAATTGCTGATGATATTGTGAAGGCGGCTGACAAAGATTTGATGCCAGATAAGACTGCCCAACATGTACTTGATTGGCTAGATGAACTCCATAACCCTTTTGATAGCCTTGGACATTGGCTTATGTCTTTATTATCTTCTTTATTACCATTACGTTTGCTATTGCTGGCCATGCTGTGTTTTGGACCATGTTTGCTCAGGTGCATAGCTAATCAGATAAAGGACTTTGGGACTGGGCTTCATATGCTCCGTCTCCGGCAAAAACAAAAAGGGGGAATTGTTAGGGATCTGTAAGGATGTAGAGGGCCACAGACAGTTCACGAGATCTCACTGAAGGGCTGAGGCCCCTCTCGGGTGTTGGTACATGAACAAAGATTGCCTGGTTCGGTGCTCCATTCTATACATCTCTAACTTCCCTAGTTACTCATTAGTCATTAACAGTGTATTTATGATTGGTAGTAGGTAAGTGCATAGACTGTACATGCACTGTCCTTGAGCACAGCATGGGTTATAGGTCATTGTAACTTGAGAAAGAGTTCCTGTTATTTTACTATATAAGTAAGTGCTTTGCTAAAAATAAACGGAGTTGCTGCCATCTTTTCTCCTGCCTCATCAATGCGTGCTCGGAGTGAAAGATCAAGCTGGTCTTGATTCTTCAGGTGATTGGGAAATCCTAGGTCCTAGGTAGGCTCTGTAGCCCAGTGAACTAGTTGTGCACAACACATTCACATTTCATGATGATCAAGCAGGCTAGAAACTAGATTAGTCTGTTCTTCCAGGTGGTTTAATCTGGTGGGACAAATAGTTTAGATAGTTCAAATAAACTAGTGGATGATAACTCTCTAAAAATATTTTGAAGTTTTCTTAGTTGCTCCCCCCTATCTCTTATTTCTCTTTTTGAGAAAGCTTACTCCTACTCTCTGCCATATATTTACCTTGCTTACACATACAATGACTTCCTTTAGAAGCTGAGATTAAACTTAAGAACTAGTCCTTTTTTGAAAATGCTTCAGCCACAGATTTCTTTATGAAGAAAGTTCTTCCAAAGTGAATAATAACAGAGAGTTTGTAGCTCCACCAGAACAAAACAGCTTAAAGGTATATTTAAATGGAAAGCTTAAAAAGATTGGTTTTTTTAAAAAACATATTTAAAGTGATTTTATGACATCCCTAGGGACTAGATTTCAAAGGAAAGGTTCAACATGCCCCCTTAGCTTTTATCATTACCATTAGAATACAGAAGGGATAGAGCATTTTAGCAGCAATTGAGAGTAATTTATTGTATGTATATACTTGTCTATGATTTATATTCTGCTTGTTTGCAATTAGGATTTGAGGTGGCTTGCAGAATTAAATATAATTTAAAACAGGAGAGTTAAAAATAAAAACAGAAGAAACACCAGTTAAGAATAGAGAAATAGATGTTATCTGGCACCTGGGATGAGTTAGTTTCTGAAGCTGAGTAACTGTATTTAGCTCTGAATTTCCTGAGACAGAGAGGAGAAGGATGGAAGATATGCAAGTTATTTAGGAATCAGGAACAGAAAGTGTAGAAGTGACCACATTTTTTAAAAATTCTCAGGACAGGACTACCAGAACTTAAAAAAATCCTCATTGTAAAGGTAGATCCCAATGGAGTGACATGAATTCTTCTAGCTGTTATCAACTGGATAAGATAAAATTTAGCATAATGAAATATAACCGAACTAGGAGAGGAAGTTAAACAACAGGGTTTCTTGGTGAGCTCTTTCCCTTTGTGTGCCCTTTTAAAGAACTTTTTAATGGTCTTGATGATAAAAATGTGAAGTGCTAAATAAAGTATAATGAAAGGAAATGAATGGGCAGCAAAAAGACCCATGGGTTAAGAAACTGACATGAGTGATATGTGTGTGGTATACCAACCAAGCAAACAAAAACATTAACCCCTACGAGGGAGTTCTTCTGGAATGATACGGAACTAGTTGTTTCATTTTATTATGTTCTCATCGTTTCTTCCAAGAATAACCTGTCTGAAATTGAGCTTCCTGTTGTTTTCCTTCTTTATATAACAAAAACAAATTCTAAGATGATGGGATCAAACTTACTACTGCAAAATATATTCAGAGACCTGTTTTAAATGAGTCTTTGCCATAGCCCAAAGTATGGGGTCCTCCAGAGACTGAATAGGAAACTTCTCCCTAACTTCATTTGTACAAAAGCTGGGAATGTGATTCCTGGTTATCTATATATGACAACAAATTTTACCTTCATGAAATGTGTGGGTGCCTTACAGTCTTCCTTTTTAATGGGATTTGGTCTCTAGTCTCAGGGGCTGTTTAAATCATGAAGGACCCTGGTAATAGACATAGGCATAAGGTAGAAGGAGAAGACAAAGGCTAGCCTATAGATTACTACTTTCTTAATAATCTAGTATAGGATATAAGAAAACAAGTGGGGAGGGATTGGGCAAGTAAGATGCCCTCTTCTCAGGTGAAGAACTTCCAATGAATAAAGCTTTTATTAAGCACTTACAATGTGCCAGGCACTATACTAAGCCCTGGAGATATAAAAACAAGCAATCCAGATGGTTCTGGTCCTCAGAGAGCTTACATTCTAGTAATGGAAGACAACACATAAAGGAGAGCCAGAATGGAAAGTGAGGGAAGGGGCAGAGTGCAGGCAGCATGGTTTGGAATTGGCCAGGAAGTAGTATAGTGGCCTGGTTCTAAGCAAGGGAAGGTAAAAGTTCAACTATCAGAGACCAGTGGTCTAAGGGCAGAATCCAAGTCCCAGGGGTAAGAGGAGGGGCCAGTTTTTATATCTTGCTTTAGAATGTAAACTATTATTGACAAGTAAGCAAGATAACCCCAGATACATCCACCCCAGTGAAAAGCATGAAAGACAGCAAATACTCTAAGGTCTGAGGAAGTTTGCCAAAATAATGGATAAACATTAATAAATTTGAAAAAAAAAAGGAAAGCAAGAAATGTTGCAGGGGCTGTGGGAAAACAGGTACACTAATGCACTACTCTTGGAGCAAAGAGTTGGTCCAACTATTCTATAAAGTAAATTAGAATTATGCCCCAAAAGTTATTAAACTGTGTGTTTGATCGAGCAATACAATGTCCTAGGCCTACAATCCAAAGAGATTTAGGGGAAAAAATAGGAAAAGGACCCATATGTACAAAAATATTTGTAGCAGCATTTTTTTTTGTAGTGGCAAAGAACTAGAAACTAAGGAGGTACCCATCAATTGTGGAGAATGGACTGGAGTGGAGAGAGGCAGGGAAACCAGGCAGACAACTGTTGCAATAGTTCAAGTGGGAGGTGATAAGAGCCTGCATCAGGGTGGTAGTTGTTTGCAGAGAAGGGGTTGATATAAGAGATTTTGTGAAAGTGGAAACCATAAAACTTGGCAAAAGATTGGTTCTGTGAAGTGAGTGGGAGTGAGGAGTCAAGGAGGATGCTGGGGTTGTAAGCCTGAGTGACTGGGAGGAAGATGGTACCCTCAACAGAAATGGGGAAATTCAGAACAGTAGAAGGTTTGTAGGGAGAGATAATGAATTCTATTTTGAACATGTTGAATTTGAGATATCTATGGGATAGTCAGTTTAAATTAATAAAACTTCCTTTTGTTGATAACATATTTAAAGAGGGAGGCTCACCCCCGGTTAAAAAAACAACAACAACAACTTCAAGATGCCCAAGAGGAAGTTGGCAAAGTAGGTCTAGAGCCCAGGAGAGAGATAAGGCTTCAATATGTAGATCTGGAAATAATCTGCATAGAGATGATAATTTGATTCATGGGAGCTAATGAGATCATCAAATGAGATAGTATAGAGGGAGATGGAAAAGGGCTCAAGAGAGAATCTTGGGGGACACTGTGGTTAATAGGTGTGACCAGATGAAGAACAAGCAAAAGAGACTGAAAATGAGCATTCAGATAGGACAAAACAAGTAACAGAGAAAATGAAAGGTGATTTAGACGTGTGTGTGGGAAAGGGGAGGCACCAGAAACTTTGGTAATCAGGAAAGTGGTCCTTGAGCTAAGCCTTGAAAGGAAGCTAACGATTTTAAGAAGCAGTGAGAAAATGGTACATTCCAGGCACGGGGGATGTGCTGTGCAAAGGCAGTAGAGACAGGAAGGTGGAATTTCATATGGAAAGAACCACAAGTAAGCCAGTTGAGCTGAAACATAGAATACAAGGAAGAGAAGTAATCAATAGTGAGTCCAGAAGCCTAGGCTAGAGCCAGATTGTGAAGGGCTTTAAATGCTAAGCAAAAGAGTTTGTATGCCTGTCCAAGAGGGCTTCTTGACCTCTCTGAAAACCCATTCCATCACAATCTAGGCATTCTCTCAGGCCACCTACACAACTCTATAATAGTTGCCTTGCCCCCAACTGGTTACCCCATCCTCCCCACCTCTTTCCAGCTGCACTGCTACCTGACTCCCTAGGAAAACTCCGCCTGTAGGTGGTCCACTTTTATGGACAAAGGCAACCTACCTGAACTTATTCTTCAATGATTAACATACTCTCACCTTATCATAACCTCCCTACTCCAGCCCCCAGCTGTCATTGTTCAAATCCCATTCTCGGTCTCCCACTGACTGCTCCCTTATGCCCATCCCCCTCAACCCAACCCCACTGAGATCCCACTCTAAAGCTACCCATCCCTTCCACTGTGCTCT